TCTAGTAAAGGTCCATCTATATATTTATAGATACAGGTATTCTAGATATACAGTATTAATTTTCAGTTCAGTAAATACAAACTCCAATACATTTTAAAACCAGAATTACAATTCATGATTAGTAGTACTTTCTATATCGTCCGTCGGATCAATCGTGTCATCCACAGCAGAATTCGCAACGAGTTCTGATAATATATCGGCAGGAACCGTAGTTTCGACAGTTTCGTCCAGTGCTTTATCTTGATGGACAATCTTGCATTTCGCAAACCCGTTGGTGATGATGGCTTCGGACAATCCAAACCACGCGTATGTAATCCATTGCACCAGTGTTGGTCGCTTCGGAGCTTGCAGCTTGAACGTCGACTTCTGAGACTTGCAGTTCTTGACTTGGCGCCGAATACTGTCGATCCACATCTTCCGTAGTTGAGACTTCATAGGCCGAATCCAGGCCACGTCTGCTGGTTGGTACATCCATGTAAACCGGGGAGGGATCTTCTCCAGCACGACATTTAACTCCGCAGCACAGGCAACCACCTCGTCGGTGAAATGTCGTCCCAAAGCAACAACACTTTCTTCGTCGCACGGTCCGGGCGGTCAGCAAAGTGGTAACGAAGGAAGTCCACCCCGATGAGTGAGTTCTACCACGTAGTTGGGTTCCCGTAGATGCGACACTGGAACCGATTCTGTAGGGGCTCGACGTCCTTTCCACAGTTATTTGCCGAATCCTTGAAGAAGCGTCAGGTTTTCTTGCACGACCGCTTTGATCTTGGAAGTAGGTGTCTTCAACACCAAGAACAAGGGGTACTTCTTGCCAGTCAAGTCGGCCATAACCATGGCCGTTGCGCGGTCCTTCGATTTGCCTCCACACTTGATCCACACCGTGTTGTAGCCGCGAGCATTGAGCGTCTTCGTGGGTAGGTACTCATAGTTTACACCCGTCTGGTCAGCATTATAGATCACGTCGATGTCATTGTCGCGGACCACTTGGGCCGCGTCGCCGTCTCCTTGTGTGTCTTGACCTTGCCGTGTCCGCGTGCGCAACGAAAGCCGAAAGCGTCTTTTAAAGCCTTCGAGCCACGACCAACTGGCAACGAACGCGCTTTCATCCAAGCCGAATTCGATCGCCGTCTCCAAGGCCATGATTTGGATCATTTGTGGGGTCACTGGTACCCCGTCCTTGCGCATTGAGTGGACCCACACGGCGATCTGCTCTTCCGACTCCTTGGGCAACGTAGTGGTCATCCCAAGCTCACGTGAACACAAGTGTTTAGAAGTACGTGGATTTGTTGCTTTAACCTTAATGTGAGCACGTTGCTTGAGCTAAGCGTATACCTTCTTTCGAGTTGTGTCGAGTGGAGGGCCCCGCAGGTGAGGAAAGTGCTTCAGGAGGGTGGCTGCCATACCCATCTCGTCGAAACTATGGATAACAGCTTGCTTCTTCTTGAACGAGACGTGCACGTTGCGAAACTTCTTGGGAGGCTTCTTGGGGCCCTCCTTCAGACGTGGTCGACCAGGAGGTCTTGCCGGTGGAGTGACATCCATTTTGAAAGGAGTAGAATGACGTGACTGGTTCCCACACGACTGAAACAATTGCGCGCGCAATAAACCTCTATAAATGAATATAGGTATTAGAATAAAGAGGGTATTTAATAATTAGAGGATATATTGCCGCGCAAGGTTATCCTGTTAAATTTATTGTCCATGGTCTCCGTCAAAATATCAATGCATACAGGAACCTGGAAGGTGATAACCACCTGGAAGGACATATATTACACGGTAGTTCGTAAATTAAAGGTTTCCTGATATTATAAGTTGATATTATAAGTTGCGTGTGGGATTTTCTCTACAAAATTATAAAAATGGTGCAACTCCCAAATATAAGAAACCAAGGGTTTCATCTCGATATCACCTTGGCCAGTCTAATACCTGCAAAACATAATTATATTGTCGGGTATTTGATTTCAGAGTAAAATGGCAGCACATGAATGGCTTGCACGCAAAACCCTAGCCATTGAAATTATCGTCTTTTCGTATAATAAACATTACATTTGACAATCCAACATGGACGAGGACAGCGGGACTAGCGCAGCGTCTGAGGAGGACCCATCATGCAACTCGATCCCGACCCGACGGAAGGGGAATCGATACGGCGTTTGCTCTCCGGGATGCCCCAAGATTTTCAACGGGCGTCCACATCAACAGCGCCAGTACATGCGTCAGAGCCACGACTATCAGGAGAAGGTTGAAGTAAAAAATTTCAATGCCTTACATGGTATGTCTGCTACCCTCACGCGATTCTATCCACAGCTTGTGGGCAAAGACAGTCGAAACAAGTCCAAAGTCGTCCGCGATTGGGTAAAAATGCGTACCAAGGTCGAACAGATCGGATACTCCTCGAGGTCTCGGCTAAAGAAACTCCGAAGTGTTGGTGTGGGAACCTCCCTAAATTGTGCTACCGAGGCGGTTATTGTCCAATGGGTTCAAGACATGCGAAATGAAGGTAATCCCAGTGGCTACAATTATGCTGCAATTGAAGGCCAGAGAACTTGCGGAGCAACAAGGGATTTCATCCAATCAGTTCAAGGCATCGCGGGATTGGGTGGACAGTTTCAAGAAACGCCATGGATTCACGCTACGACAAAAGACAAGGCAAGGACAAGACAAAGAGGAAGGTGCCAGCGCTGCTTTGGACGCCTTTAGTAGGCGTGTTCACGAAGTATGCTTAATTATATATTTGGCTATTTAACAGTGTTATAGGTCATGTTAGTTTACGATATAACAAAGTGTTATAACGCTGACCAAACCGGCGTCTTTTACGAGTACTTACCCAAGCGTACGATCAATGCTCGCGGGGTGAAGACCGTGTGGGTTCGTTGTGGGGGCAAAGACAAGGAGCGAG